ACACAGTTATGTACACTGCAGTTGTCCAGCATGCGGTTGTTCACACAGAATGTCGATCCAACTTTCGGATCCAGGTTGCGAAATTTTCACTCATCATCCACACTTTTCGGTTGGCACAGTAATCATCGGGAAGATTGTTGATGTTTTTAAATCATCGTGGCTTTTGAGCCTTCCTGATAACGAGAAGCGGCAAGCGCTCAGTCCCTGTCGTGCTGGCAACTAAAAGTATGGTCACTCGTTCCTTGCTTTTTTCGCCGCCGATACAAGGATCCCCTTTTATAGGCACAGTTTTATCTGGTAACGCTTTGAAGAACAGTGCTGTTTCATCAGCGTTAATTATGTCATTCATAATGTAGACGGCAATGTGCTCCAGCATCATTGCACTCTATTAATTGTTCACCGTGTCTTTGCTCGCAGCACCTCTTTCGCCACAGATGATTTTGAAAACAAGGCCATATTTTCCCTGAACCATGCACACCATCGGTCCGACGCTCTGAAGGAATGCATCATTGCTGCAAGCCTTTCAGCTCGTGTCATAATCACGGGTCCACCCATTGGGAGGTTTGCATTACGGGAGCTGACCACCCATAAAAGGGCTTCTTCCAACAATGAGCTGCTGTTCGCAGCTGCTTTCTCAATGCGCTCAACTTCTTACCTTCAAATGCCTGCAGAATCTACTCTTCATTTTTAACATATGTGCTAAGAGTACTTTTTCTATCATTGGACTTTATCACTTCGTGAAGCGAAATTTCTACTTTAGTGGTTAAGTCTTTGGCCTCGTACTTCGGCCATTTCGTCGCCATTGCCATAGGCGGAGAGTGCAGTCATACGGGAACTCGGCACAAAAGCGCCTGTATCGATCGAGCTAAAGGAGCTGTACTGAATCGTTCCTCGACAAAACGGCGGTCAATGATGCGGCACAACAAGGGGATCAAGGCAACGAATTGGCACTGCCGAACCCACACATGAAGAAAAGTGGTTCAACCAGTTAGAAGTCAAGCCGATAATTGATGCCCATGAAGATGCTGTTTGAGCTTTACTTTTGTTCTGAATCGTTTTTTTTTTCGTTTTTGAGCCTCACCAGCAGCCCAAAAACCACGAAATTATTCATAAATTTGCTGTCACATCTCTCCAAAATGACGAGCACCCAGTCTCATATAGAGTGATGCATATATTTACGGGGACCAGGTGACATGTCCGAATCATCAATTTTTCCGAATTAACAAGAGTTGAATTAACGAGCTTTTACAGTAGAGCGACTGCCGCATAAAGGTGTTGGTCCCGGGTTTGAACCCCAGACCAGGACAAATTTTTCGGCAACTAAGAAGCTTTTCTTCCTGAGAAATCTGTATGGATTTTTTCTTGGTTCATGCAACAAATAGGTGGTTGTCTTTTTTCCATTTCTTGACCCTCCCGCCACCTTGCAGGTTTCTGTGGAACTGATTTTCGAAGCAGAGAGTTCTTCTGTACGTCCTTCACATTCTCTGCATTGCTTTGAGATGCAAAGCCTCAACAGCCAGTCTAACTAGACAGCAAATGTGCGAGAGCAGACAGACCTTGGCCTGCGAGAATAGAGATCAGAGGAGTGTTCTGTGTGTATGTTGTCAAATTGGAGGAGCATTTCTCTAACTGCACACATTCACATGCTCTTAGTCTGGCCATTGCTGTGACTACCTACTGTTGAATTTAGACGTGTATGCTAGTATCATGACTTTGGTCATTCATCCAGTGTGTGAATGACAAGTATTACTATTTCAGATGTTCCTTTCAGCACTGTGAAGGGTACAGGGCCCTTTTATCAGTAGGAAGTGCCATTAATCCCTCCTTGTATATCAATCTGTGCCACATCTCCCTGGCACATGTGTGCACACACACACTTAGCAAGCAGATCGCAGTGCAGGGAATTAAGAACATGGTGGCATCCATTCATACTGGTTCCCTCCGCCTGAAGTTCATCACATCGTTGTCATGCGCTCTATGGAACTGATGCTGCATCTACATGTCTTGTTGGAGCTTTGGCACCAATGTATTCGTGATTAAATTGTGCTATCTCCACGAACCGCTACCAAATTCTCAAGGTGTTAGGCGTAGCAGGCATGATTAAAGGAACTGCTTATCTGAAGCAAGGTGTCGAAGCAGGCTAGTTGGTATTCCATATTCTTACAGTTGATGTGCAAAAGGTTTGTCCTTGTTGTTTCCTTCAGCCGTGGTCTGCCTTTTTGCGCTTCAGCTGTAAGAATGCAGCTTATGAAGCCTATAACAACAGAGAGTCCTGAGTGCCTTGAGCAAGGATGAAGCGCAAGTTTGGATTAAAGCGGGCGGTCCCCTCTACATGGGGGGTGGCCATGTTAATTTTTTTAACCACAGTTACCGGTGGTAACTATAATTACATACAATAATTAAATACAACAATAAATAAATATGCCGTAAATGCGACAAAGCTCATTGATGCACAGCAGCAGGTGCGAAGGCAGCAACTGAATGGTAGTGGTAAGATGGTGGATAGACGGTGGATTTTTCTATGATATTGCATTGCAGCTGCTCTTTCCGCTTTAGGGTAATGTGGGCTAGCCACACGACATCACTCAAGAGCAGCTGAGAGTTCCACTTGTGTCATTCATTCATTTCACTGCGTAACTAACTTGTGAGTATAATCGCAAATGATAAGCTTTTTTTGGGTATTTCTTCTTTAGTGTATTCTGCATGGAGCGTAACAGTAAAGCTGCGAAGGTGCACTGATCATTTTTGCGTAATGAAACCAGAACTTCTAGCTAGAACAGCGTAGTTTAGTTTTCTGTAGCACACACGGTTGCTGGTGCTAAATTTTCCACCAGCATTTCGTAAAAGGTCTTAGAAATAAAGTTTCTTTTTAAATATGCAGACACGAAACATTAAAAATATACACCTGACCTTGAACAAAGGTTTTCTGACTGTTACAAGGTTATTCATGATTGTTAAGCAAACTGGGAGCGCGGGAGGAACAAAGACATGAAGCAAAGAGGAGGCACACAGCACGAGCACTCGTGCTGTGCGCCTCCTCTTTTGCTGTGTGCCTCCTCGCGCTCGTGCTGTGTGCCTCCTCTCTTGCTGTGTGCCTCCTCTTTGCTTCGTGTCTGTGTTCCTCCCGCGCTCCCAGTTTGCTGAACAATCATGAATTGCCAACTAGCCCACCTTTCCATCTATCCTATTGTTACAAGGTAATCTGACGAGGCATGTTTTTCAGATCATTTGAGCACATAGCCCAGCTTGACATGCCACTGACTAGCTGATGTTTCGGCTTGCATAAACATTAATGTTCACTTCTGGTAAAATGTGTTCAGTTGATGCCAAGTCCTGTGTTCTACTGCCATCTTTATCTATAACTTCATGCTTTCCTGACCTTGAATTCGGATTGGTTGGGCCAGTTTTGTGAATGCATCTTCTCTTAGCACGGAAGGGTAATGAAAATGCATCACAGGTGGCGGTGTAACCAGCTTTTAAGTCACTTGGCTAACACCAGAAAGGGGCACTGGGCTATATCAGATGCAAGCATGTCCTTTATGAGAGAGTGTGGGAGCTGACAGCTGATGAAGGCTTCATCTAGTGGCAAACAAAATGATGAGTCATGGCCAGGGTGGGCAGACACTGTCAGATTACGCTGCCTTGCACAATGCTTGCACCACTGCTTCGTCTGCTGCCAGAAATTGAGTGTAGTGTACCAGCATGACGCAAGCTGCAGGCATTGCCATTGCGCGATGCAGCGTAATATAACAGCGTGTCTCACTATTTCGTTTGCCATTAGATGAAGCACCCGCCAGGGGTGGTGCCTGACTGCCGCTGTGGCAGCCTATGAGCTTACATTTGGGTGTGAAGAGAAAGTCAAAATCCCCCACATCTCTCGTCTGGGGTTTTGCAAGATGCAACTGCAGATAATAATAATATGACACTAATATCAGGTATGCTTTCATTAGCTGTTGGTTGACGGAGCTGTAGGTGATCTCTTCGGTAAAGTACACCAGTGTACTTGTCTCCTGCACTTTGCATATTGTGCAGAGATGGTCTTAGCAGATGGGACTCGCTTTGTTCGAATTCTGTGTTGCCAAGCTTTTCAGTCCTTCTTTTTTCTTGGTAACTAGTTCTAAACATGAGGCATTAGCATTCTCTTTCATAGAGTAAACTTTTTAGTAGCACAGAAAGTCTGCCATCACAGTAATTGATTACTATAAAACATGATGCTGCGAATTGTTTACATAACTAAGTTTCAAAAGCGCTGCTAATTTTCCCAGTACACGTAAACGATTAAAGGTTTAGCTGCTTTTGTGGGACTGCATAGCGATGCTTGTACTTTTGTACCATACATGATTCATGTATGGGTGAAAGGAATGTCTCTCAGCACGATGTGCATGTCTGTGACCTTTGCTTTACTTGTGCTGATTTCGCATGGGTGTCTTTCGTCATGCATTACATATAGTAGTTTATATGCAGTTCTGCGTCACAGCAGTGGCATCACGAAAGCCTTCAGAATTTTTGGTGTGATACTTCTGCCATCTTCTTGCGGTAGCTACATGTACAGTCTCCTGTTGTCACCCTTTCATTTTTTTCTTTTTTGCCACATTTACAGAACCCACCGAAATTTGAATGCTGGTGCTGTCCTTTTCGATGATGGTCACTTGCTAATTAGTGTACGAATGTCTATTTCAGCGTGGTTGATGCCTACTGATTTACCACTGTTAGTTCACAAGACTTGTACCTACCTCTTGAACTTACTTTATTGTGTGGATGCATCATGATGAGCATGCATATTCAGGTAATGAGCTAGCTTTAATGACCCACAGGATAAAAAACATGCAGTTATTATAACGCTACCTTAAAATTTTAAAATCGACAAAGTATGCGCCGTTGAAGCAATGCTAGAGGAGTGTTCCTCATACCTCTCAGTCATATAGCTTAGAAAGTGGTAGTTGCACATGTAAAAAGAATTCTTAGAGAGGAGGAGAACTTAAAATTTCTTGCCTCGACAGGCGAGGTGCCCCTTGAGGAGCAAAGCGGGCAGCTGAACCGTCTGGGCCTCCCGCTCACCACAATCATCATCATTGTTGTGGCCACAGTACTGCTAGTGCTGCTGCTGCTCGACGTGGTCTGCTACCTGCGCTTCCACTGGGGCTTCCTCTACTGCCTGCGCCACTCTTGCGGAAAAGGGCACGCACCTGCCAAGCCAGTTGCGGACGATGCCAAGAGCAGGTGCGTTCGCGCCACGTCTGACGATAGTGGCCAGCAGAAGTGGGGTCGGCTTCGCTACCTGCTTGAGGAGCGAGACAACAAGCCATTGTTTTGGGCCGCACAGCCCTTGCGTGATGCCCTGTGAGCATGGTTGCTGGGAAGGGCTCAAGACCTCTCTGGTCATAGCAGCGGGAACGGTGGCTGACAACCAATAGGGCAGACTATATTTTCTTTTTTGTAGGCATCTATTCTCTATAAAGCATGAAAGGTTTGTTCAGCTCAAAACACTGAACAGTACAAAGTCCATTGCTATTAAAGAAAAGTCTTGCAGTTTTTTGGTTTTCTCACTCTAATTTCAATGAAATATAATGTATTGCAAAGCAGACTTCCCTCTGCTATATGAAACACTTGGGGGTAATCATCCAGAAAGTGTTTTTAGAGTACCTTGTCGGGTAATCATGCTGCCTTGCAGAACAAAGCATGTGGGGCTGTCAAACTCGGATGTGTCTGTGTATCAGTGATGCGAAAATTCATTATTGTATTGGCACCCACACGTTGTATAACGAACACCTTGCTGCACAGTGCATTTTGCATGGTTGTGGGTCATTGGAAATATTCTGGCCACCGAACTGGTCTCGCCAACAAAATGAGCAAGTGCATGTCTCGGCTATGGATGGCTGCACATCAGGGATTTTATTTCTGGTTCACAATAATAAACTTTGCAGTGAGTCAGGTTTGTAATGCTGCAAGTACTACTACTAGTTTTTATAGCTATCCATCCTTTTTTGTTACTGGGCACTGTCAGAGGTATCCTGGTTCAGTGTGTATGTTTTCAGAAATGCAAATTGCAAGTTTTCAGTGAGGTATTATTGGATAATCTTTATATTTCCTGATATCTCGGCAATAACCCAGTGGCTGTTTGGTCGGCGCTCTCGTTTGTTGTTCTTTTGCCGTCCCGTGTTCAGCGCTGTTTGTCCCTGTGTTAATTATATTGTTACGCGGACGACATACAGACTTTTATATATATATACATTTAGAACTGGTTTGGCAAGCAGCACTGCCGATACCAAGAACTCGTGCCAGTCTATCTTCTGTCGTTCTTTTCTTTGTCTTCTTGATCGCTATGCCACTGGTGATATCCTCTGCCACACTGATATCCTGTTGTCGAGCTTGGTAAAAAAGAGAAAAAGCGGGGGTCAGGACATTGCCCTCTGCGGAATTTTGTCTCGCGGAGTGCAACAATGTCTCGCTGCATGATGGTGAAGGGGGAGGCACATGGTTAGAAAACCTGTGATAGGGGCACCTCTTTTTTTGGTGGAATTTTTCATGCCGTTGTGCTGCAAACGATGCCTGTCCGAGCAAGAAACAGTGCCCTAGACGGAACGAAAGGATAGACGAGGCACGCAGACACAGCGCTGGGTCAATTTCGTACCGAAAAAGACGGAAACGACGGGAATGTCGCCGCGTTTTATAAAAACGAAGTTAGCCTGTGCGATTACGCTACACTTGCGTCGTTACCACCGGAGCTATTAATACGCATGTGTGTGCAGTCGACACATCCTGTAACGCCAGGGAACTCGGGCACTTCATAAAAGCCCCGCACAACTTTAGGAAGAGCCGCCAACTGCGGAAAGCGTAGCAGCATCACTTACAGGTGCTTTGCAATGAGTAGTGTAACCTTTCCGACTGCATGACAGAATGCGGACGAAATTCCCGGTGACTGTTTGGAATGTGCCAGCGCCGTAAAGCCTGAGCGCCATCAGTACCTGTAACACTGGAGGCACAGGCTGTCTTTGGCTGTCTCCACTTTCGCGGAGCGGCAACATAGCCAGCAACTGCTGCACAGCGTTCTTCGTTAATCTCTATCGAGCGTGGAATTGATCCTTGTCATACAACTCCATTGGATTTTCTCGGTCACGTAAAGCGGGCCGAGGAATCTTCGGCAGGCAGTGCACCTCACAAAATGCTATGCTTATGGCGTGGCAAGCAAACTCAACAGTGGCCAACCTCAGGGTGACATCCATTCGAGAGGTGGCCATGGTGGAATAACGCATGAGGTCGTTTTCAAGCTAGCCCTGCAGTTGACTTGAAGCTTGTCCTGACTTAAGACTGAGCCAAGTCGCTTTCAAGTCATGCACAAGCTTTAGAACGATTTATGGCGAGCCGCAAGACTCTCTTGAGTCAAGAACGAGTCAAGTAGGAGTCAAGTAACATCTCTGCATTCGAGGGTCAGAAGTTGTTTCGAGAAGTAGTGTTGTTGGTCCGTGAGATGTGAACATCACTCGACCGAACTGATGATGGGTCCAATCTGGTAGGTAAAGGGCTTTACTTGCAGTACATGGTGAGATCCCATGTAACAACACAAAGACTTTTCAGAGAGGCCCACCTTATGATGACGGGACCGGGTTAACACAAGGGTACCAGGAGAAAACAGTGTCTTGATGTGAAGCATCGTATAGACCTTATCTGTGACCCCGTCAGACAAGCACTGGCAAGCTCACTGGCATAATCAGCTCGTGCAATAGCATCACAAGCATGCTGCTGGTGGACAAGGTATTGCCTGATATGATAAGTGTCCAGAGGTAAACTCGGCTCTCTTCCATACAACAGGTAGAAAGGCAGAAAGCCTGCTGTGTCATGTCACAATGAGCTGTACACGAAAGTTGCTTCGGGTAGGGCAAGATCCCACTATCGGTGGTCTGGCAACACATATGTCGTGAGCAAATCCACATGATTGCGATTAAAGCGTTTCATGTGGCTGTTGGTGGGGGGAGGGGGGGAGGTGGTAAGCTGTGGTGTCTTTGTACTGCGTGGAACAGGAACGCAGTATGTCGGCAATGCCTTGCGAGAAAGGCACGGCTCCGAAGCAGCTGTTTTGGGGGCACTGTGAATCAATGTAAAGTCGTGTAACAGGAAGTCAGCAACATTGGTTGCACAACTTAGCAGCAGAGCTCGAGTAATAGCATAGCATAATCATTAGCCACGACTATCCACGACTATCCACTTGACTATCCACTTGCGACGTTCACATAACTCTCACGTTGTTATGTTTCAGCGTATCGAGCAAGCATGGCCTGGCCAGTAAAACCGCTGCTGTACACACTTGTACGTGTGAGATACGCCAAGGTGTCTAGCTGTTTCAAAATAAGGTGTCCAGCTGTTCAGCTGTGGGCGCATCGTGAAGTTCGGCGAAGACACTGCCCGTAAATGCTTGGACACGCAAGAAGGCCATAGTCAGGTCATAAATTGCGGGGGTATGGGATACCCTCTTTAAACACCAGGTGACGTGTCGTTGGGGGAGGATTTGGTGCAGCTGATGATGTCGAGCAGCCGTAGATTCCATTTCTGTTCTTCCCCAGTGTGAATGAATTTGGACACTGAGGCGATAAGAGTGCACCTTTTCGTGTGGGGGTCATCAGAATCGTTGATGATGTACCGGAAGAGGCAATCTGCATCCTGGTGCAGGCGGCCAGATTTGTACACGACTGAGTGAGCAAATTCTTTCAGTAGAAGAGCCCAGGGACTTAGGTACCCTGACCAGCAGAGTACATAGTGATCAACAACTACCGAAATTGGGCGGCCATTTCAATATGGCCTGAATTTCACGATCGCCCAAATGAGAGCCAAACACTCATGCTCTGTGTTGAAATAATTGCGTTCAGGGGGGGGATAGGAGGCAGCTAGCATATGCGGTAACGCAGCCATGGCCGCGCTATTGTTTGGCGAGCACTGCGTCAATGCCACGGCCACTTACATCCGAATGAATGGGCAACAGGGTCAAAGTGGGCCGAAATTAAAGGAGTAGTGATGTGTGCGATTTGATTTGAGAATGCAGATGCCTCTTCGGAGCCCTATAAAAATGGGGGGTGTCTTGCTTGAAGAGTTCTTTAAAAGGTCTCGCTGGCTCTTGAAAAGACTGCATACATTTTTTGAAGATAGTGGAAATATTTTGACTGCGCTGATTTTTGCCGGGTCTAGTTATATGCCATTAGCATACCTGCCAAGTCTCCCGGATTGGCCCGGAGACTTCCAGATTTGGACTGTTTCTTGTCATGAAAATCATGTCATGTTGTCATGATAATCTCCCGAAAATAGAAATTTTGCTGCATGATCTGGCCACCTTGACAAAAAAAGCAGCGCAACACGCTCCAGGCTTTTGGAACCTACCCCATTTTATTAAGAGTTTAAGAGGTGTTCATCTAAACGTACAGTAGAATCTCAGTGATGCGAAACCGCGGCAGATACGAATTCGTGAAATTCCTCAGCAAAATTGCACTGTGTCTATGGGCCTAAATTCGAATGTTCTGAACACATTTCCTAATCGCGACGGGTGATACGAACTTTAGTACGGAAATCGTCGAACGAAGGCCGAGAGCAACGTACTCGAAGCTTTGGAAGTATGCGTGCGACCGGCGCACGCACTGTCTTCTACAGTGTGCGTGATTGTCCTCACTACAACTGCTGTTGACGAAACCGTGGTCGCTTTTGACGCAATCATGTATGGCGACAGCGTAACTGTCCCGAAAGTCTCGAAAGTGTGTGTGCGTCCAACACTCAACCAGTCAAAGCAGTGCTGCTTTCCGCAAATCCTGTGAACAAAACCGCGGCAGATGCGATCGTAGATGGCATAAAATGACTTTGTTTTGAAGGCGTGTGCACAGTCAAGCGAACGGGGATTGAAAAAGGAACTACCATTTGCCGCAACTGCAGCGCACATCACAATCGCGGCGGCGTGATAGCGATTTACTATCTCCGAGGGCACATAGCCCTAGACTAAAGGCAGTAAATACATAAAAAAAAAAGTCACAGTTTCGTCGCAAGGGCGAACCAATGAATGCGACAGCAACAACTTGGAATGTCACACTGAGAATGGCAAGCAGATCAAAACGTGCAGCGCGCTGCTCACGCACAAAGTACGCACAAAAACAATACACACAAGACAAAAGTAAACTAACTACGTTTATTGCTCGACACGTAACGCGCTGTTTAAACAACAAAAAAGCGATGCTCGATACATAATC